TATAGTAAGTTGTTGAAGGTCCGGCACGCCCTAGGGCACAGCGGTGTAGGAATAATAATAATATGCTGGTTGTGATCCAGGGGTTGCTCGAATTTGTGAAGTCGTTTGTCAAGTCCGACGTTTTCTTCTCGCGGCTCAATCACGCGCTTCTGGAGATAGGCGATGTTCCGTCCCTCTTGTTCTCCCGCGTTCCGAATTCTCCACTGACCGTTGTTGTTCTGGGCTAGGGTGCGTCTCCACAGTCGAGCCGTTTCGAGCGCTCGGCTGGGTGGTGCAACTTCGCCTCTGTCGTCGGTTTCCAGGTTTTCATCTTTGGTGCTTGTCTCTGCGTCGGCGAGTGCTTGTTCGTAGGCGTTGGCTCGCCCGACGTCGGAGTCATCCTGAGCGTAGCCGGCGGCTGCCACTTCGACGGTTCTGACGTGCTTGTCGATGGTGGCTGCTTCCTTGCCTGGAACCGGTTCCCAATCTTTCTTGGCGCTGCGGCAGTCGCGTTTGAAGTGTCCTTTCTTGCCGCAATTGAAGCAGGTGACGCCTGCCTTATCTCTGGCGGCGCCCCTCCTTCCTTCCTTCTGAGCTTGGGTGGCATCCACGTCCATCGCACCTGCGTGCGCGCCATAAGACGTGCTCTTGTATTGGCGCATCCGCTTGTCGTTCGCCTGGTACGTCGGAGTCACTCCGCCCTTGCCTTTGCGCTGCTGCTTGCGCGCGTACAGGCGGTCATCGATCCGAATCGCCATTGCCATGTACTTGTCGAGGGTGTCTGGTCGATCTATCTTATACAGCTCGTCCTTGACTTCGTCCTTGAGACCGTCGTAGAATAACTGCATCAATCCTTCATCGTTGATTGCGGAACGCAGCGAGTCTTGTCGAAATTGGGTGGCATAGGCCGCTGCTGACTTGGTCTGCCGAAGTCGCGCGAGTCGCTGCTGGGCGTGCAGTTTTCATCGCGGTTTCCGAACATCTTGTGGATTTCTTCCTCGAATTTGGCGTAGTTGGCAAACACCTCCTGAGTGACCTCCTCCTGCTCTTCTTCGTCGTTCGCGTGCTTCAGGTAGTCGTCCAAGGTCGGTTCGAACCATCCAAGCGCCTTGTCCTCAAGTCGGGAGGCCGCGTACCCAACCTTCTGGGCTTCGTTGACGAATCGCTCCGCGTAGTAGAGGAAGTAGGCTCTCATCTGGACAAGCCATCCAGCGAGCTCCTCCTTGGATCCTCCGTACTTGGCTAGTGCCTCCATCTTGGCCTTGGCGGTCTGACCGCGCAGGTAGGCGAGCTCTCGTTCGAGTTGAGCGTTGCAGACATTGGCCTGCTCGAGTGCCTGGGCAGTTGCCGTGGTGTTGCCTCCTGCGGCCTGGGCCTGCAGAGCGGGGATATTCGGGGTGTTGGGTGCCATGGCGATGGGTAACCTTCAGTCAAGCCGTGACAGAACCAAAGGGAGTAAGCAACGTGTGACGAATCTTGAAACCCCAACTTCTGAAAGGGACTCCTGAAGGTTTAATTTGACAACGGGGTGAGGTTCGGTGAAGCCAAAGGGTTCATGACACTTGTGCACTTGTTGTGAACCTTTTGGCTTCACCGAACCTCACCTCGTTGACAAGTTATAACCTTCAGGAGTCCCTTTCAGAAGTTGCCGCTTCGAGATTCGTCATCGACAGTGACCCCTTACTTAACATCTTCGCTCAGCAGCTAGAAGCACCCTAGAAGTTATAGAAAGCTGCTATCTTATATATAATGCTAAGTATACAATGAATCGCCTCCTTTTATACTGTAACGGCACGGCTGGTCGGGTCGGCAACGCCCGGCGACAGGTGCCAGTTGTTACAGCTTCATAGTGCAGCCAGTGATTCTGTTGGAAAGCCAACAGCCACAATTCCACGGTGACACACTTTATGGGAGCCGTTAAAACAGTGCACTTTTCGAGTGCTTAGGACCAGCCCAGAATCTGTCAATTGAGTTCTCTTCGTCTCCTCAAGTTATCTGGGTACCTCGCAGACCTTATGTAACAGCTGTGTATTACCCCTGACCAGGGTACGACACCGGTAACTCATTTTCCGAGTTTCAAGTGCCATCGCTTCCAAAACATCTACCAAACTGCCCTGAAATAAGACATCGTTACAGTAGTCAGAGCTCAAAATGTCCTACAAAAGCGCCAACACAACCGCAAGTTTTCTGCTAGGTATGGTCGTATATGATAGTTAGAGTTAAGTCCAGAGTCCAGACCCGTCATTATATAGGCGTTATTGATTGTAGATGGGAGAGATTCAAAGCTCAATGGGAACACCACACACCACATCTGCCCACCGCATTTGTTCGTAGCACTGCAGATAAGAAATGGCTGCTGGAGAATTATCAATTCGCTATAAGCATAGCCATTGAGATAAGAAGTTCACTGGTGCGGTAGTTGTGTAGTAGAGAAGGGAGAACATTAAATTATGGTAAGGAGGAGAGAAAGAGAATGTCACGGGTGGGCGCAACTGACCACTGCGTAACACCCTCAAAAGAGGGACCGTGGTTCGAACTGTCCAGTCGAACCAGGAGTTGCGCACATGAACCTCACACTGTCACGACCCGTGACAGAGGAAAGGGATGAATAGAATGAAGAGTAAGAAGAGGAGAGTGAGAAAAAGTAAGTAAAAAAAGATGAAGAGGGAGAGGGAGAAGAAGAAGAGGGAGCAAAAGGGGAGGAAAAAAAGGAAGAGGAGGAGCTGGAGGGAGCTGGGAGAAGAGAGGAAGGAGAAAAGGAAGAGGGAGAGGAAGAGGGAGAGGGAGAGGGAGAGGGAGAGGGAGAGGGAAAGGAGATACAGAGTTCTTTTTTGTATTCCTGATCCGTATTTCACTAACCTACTCGACCTCCTCAATCTTCGGCTTCGGCTTCGGCGTCGAGCTTTCCCGGCCAGCAAGGGACCTCTCCGGGTCAATCTCCAGTCCAGCCAACTTCATCAACCCACCGCGCAACGCAGCTTGACTGCGCTCCGAGGCCGCCGGCAGCAGCCTGATAAGCTGCCAATTCTCCAAGCTCTCGACCGCATCCCGCGCATGCTGCACCACCAGCCCGTCGTTGTCCGTCTCAGCAACATACCTCAACGTGCGCATCACGTCCTCCTGCGCCGTCTTGCCAAACCCAAACCCGAGATCCCTTCCGTTCTCCCTGGCCTCCTCGAGCGCCCTTACAAAGCTCAGCACAAACACGACCGCCGCCCTCCTCAAAATCCCCTTCTCCACCTCCCTCTCCAGCTGCAACACAGACAAGCACAAGTCCACCGCGCCGGTGACTATCTCCTTTCCCAAGCCCACAAGATTCACCTCGACCGCCGCCCCGAGGACCGACAGTGCCGACGCGCGCACCCTTACATCCTCGCTCCCGCGCTTGCTCTCCCACCCCTCGACGATCCTCTCCAGCGCTTCGTTCCGCATTCTCTCCTCCTCTGGCACGTCGTGGTCGTCGCTCATGTCCGGCAGCTCGCCGCCCCACGCCTCGGCCGCCTCGCGGTTCCGCTTCTCCTGCGCCCTCGCCTCGCGCCGCTGTCTGGCCTCCGTCTTAGGCCTGCGCCCGCGCCGGCCCGCGACTGCCACCAGCGCCGTGCCCGTCTCCTGGGCGAGCGAGGCCGTAAAGGTCTCCCCCAGGCGCTGGATCACCTGCAGCAGCGCCTCGCCGAAGCGCAGGCGGGCATCGAGCGGGTGGGTTTCCTTGGCGTCGAGGAAGTGGTCCGTTAGTTCGCGCACGACGGATTGAGGGTGGCGGTTGCAGAGGAGGGTGTAGAGTTTGATAATGCGGAGGTAGATGAATTCGTCCGAGTCGGACATCAGTGACGAAAGGAGTACGAGGATGCCAGGGATGTCGAGGATTGGGGAGTTTGACGTGATGAGGGTTGATATCAGGTTGAGACCTTCGGCGCGGATCGGGGGTGGAGCCTCCGCTTCGGTAATGTATGAGATGGCGAGACTGTAGGTTTTCCTGTCCTCAATTTGCTGGTCTGTGGGAGCACTGGTGGTAGACGAGCTGGGATCAAGCTCATCCCGGTAGACGAGGAGGAGGCGGAGGTTGGATGCTGTTTGCGAAAGGTCGTTGGGGGCTTTGGAAAGCTTGTCGAGAGATGACTCAATCAGGCTAAGGACGTTGGGGTCCACGCCCGACCTCCGGAAGCCTGGAGCCGTGATGACCACGTTTAAGAGACTGAGTGCTATCCCAATGACTTCTTCGTTACCGTCCAAGGCGTCTCCCAAGCCGGCTAGGATCTGGCTCACGAGATCGATGAGGTGGGTGGGTTGAGTAGCTAGCTTCTCAGGGAACCTCTCCAACATGGCCTGGAGCGTCTTCATCTCGTGCAATTGGACAATGGGATCCTTCTCTTCTGCCTCCTTGACGACAATTTCGCCCCTTTTTGAACCCCTGGCCGACTTTAGCCATCTCTTGAGGAGTTCCAGAAAGGCAGTCGAGATATCGGCGTCAGAAAGGCTCGATGAAACAATGTCCAAGAGCTTCGAAGCCTTCTGGTCGATGTTTCCTAAAGTGAGACCTGATGCGGAGACGCTGAGATCCCCGGCGCGTTGCCTGGCGTCCACGATTCGAATCAAACCTGTCTCTGTGCCCTTGTAGGTCCATTCAGGAGTGTTTTTGTCATAGCCGCCACGGTAGCCCAGGTTGTGGATCAGCTGAAGGATACGGTCGGGAGCTGGCGCTACTTTTAAGTAGACCTTTAATAACTCCAGCGCAGGCTTGCACACTTTCTCCGCGGCATGTGGTTGCGGTTCAGACCAGGATGCAAGCGCCCAGAGACCGAGAATGATTGGACTGAGCAGCCGCTTGCACAGGTTTGGATTGGGGTGCAAAAGCAGCAACGAATGCAGTCGACGAAGTGCCGTGACCAGGTCATCGTACGGGACAAGAACCCGGTACCTGCCGGCGTAAACAATGCCGTCGCCGGGTTCGGTATCTGCATCTTTATCAAAGTCAAGCCCGGGAGGAGGTTGGATGGGACCAAGTAATGGCATCGCAAAGAAACGGTAACCCGGCGTGCCTGAAGACAGCAGTATTAGCCGAAGAAAGCAACCGAGACAGGGCTGTATGAACGGTAACGGCGTACCTGGGGCTCCCGATATCTGTCTTCCTAAGATACCGAAACCAATGACATAAGAGGCAGCCTTGGTCAAGTCCGGCCCCTCATTTCCGTCAAGCAACTGCAGCAGCTGCGCTGAGATGGTCGAGTACCATGTCTCGGGCGTTACTGACTTGGGGGGATTCGATAGGACCTTGGAGGCAAGCTCGAGCGCTTCCTGGGTGATGTTGGCCCCCTTTTTCTGGGGAACGGCGGCTTCGGATGCCTTGACGGTACTTGAGGGATGCACCGAGACGACAAACTCCAGTGTTCCCCGAACGCCGTCTGGGCGAAGCGGCACGCAAGTCAGCTTCTCCATGATCTTGGGGCGTAGCCATGGCGGAACAGCGCCGGGCCGGATGAGCTTGTTGAGGGCGGCGAGCAGGTTGAGTGTTTTGGTCCTGAGGTACCAGTCAGAGCTGAAGGGCACGGGATGAAAGGGCTGGTAGCTAGGCTAACCTTTCAATCAAGTCGTCAAACTCCGCGATCCTCGTTGGTCGTATACTCTCGGGCGCAGCTGGGTTGAAGGCGTTGGTGCCAACCTCAACGATAGATTCCAGCAACACTTGGCCACGTTCGGGCTGCGACATATTGAACTAGGTATCAAATAGGCAACCGAAAGAAAAGGAAGAAGAAACTCGATAGTGGCGCGTGCCAGAGGTAAATTCTTGTATGGATTGCGAAGGAGAGATCCGGTTCTGCGCCGGGGCTGCAGGGCCGGAAAGCCTTTAGATACAGTCAAGTGGTAGGTTAACGCTGAGCGGGCCTCCACTCAATGAGGTACCCCAAAATGGCAACGTCTATCAGTAAATGTTTGAGATGTCAGGCAGCGGCTGACATTAGTCTCCTCAACAGGATGCACTGATGGAAGGCATGGAAGAGCGAAGACTCTGCCCTGCAAATTGAAAGCCCGTGCGACCCCAAACCCGGTAAGATGTGGGGCCATGGCATTAGTGGGGCGAGCATAGTACGGATGTACTTTCTACCCGACCTTCCTGGAACCTGACGCGTCTCATGGGTATAAGCGCGTCGCTTCCTTCGACTCCAATTCATCTCCTCCATTCCAAACCCCCAAACCCGCCAAACTGCCCTCACGTTGTCCAGATGGAATCGTACTGGCTTAACGCGCGTCAAACTCATGAAGTCCGCTCGAGATGCAATTTTGTCAATGCACATCGAGTTACACAACCCAAGCCGCCGATTCCAGTGTCGACTCGCCCTCCTCGCCAGCATCTTTCGCCTTGAGCATCCCATCTCGCACCACGCCTTCCCCACAGTTCTCCGATTCCGATTTTCCGCGAGGAATGTCGTCTCGACCGCCTCATTGGGATCTGGACCCCCGCAGTACGTCGCAGCTTCGATCCCGTATCGGGTGCCTCTCAAGCTTGCCGCGCTCGGATCTACTGTGGTCAACTTCTTGTCCAGCAGGGCAAGCCAGTCCCACGGAGGCGAATTGGTCTCGGAACTTAACCCTAAGTATTCTTTTGGTTCACAAGTATTGCGCTTTTACAGTCATTTGGCAACCGCCTTTCACGCCCGCGCTGTCCGACGAGCCGAGTTGCTGCTGGCCGCTGAAAAGTGGTGCAGCCGAGGCTCCGGTGACGGCATGGGCCGACCGGCGGCATCCGAGCCCCAGTCACCTGTCATGGGTGGGCGACTGTCCCTTCCCATGAGTCCACACGGTAAGCGCCTCTGGCCCGAGGCCGCTCGTCGGGTTGGGACACTGGATCTGGTACTCTGGTCACGATGGATTGTCGGTGGTGGTGTTGTCTGGACGACCGGGTTCGGCGGATACGTTCTGGCAGCTCGTCTGCTTGGCATGCTCCTTTCTGGCCGTCTTCCCTCGGAGCAGCCTCGGAATGAGAGGGAGAGCGTAGCCTCAGCTCCACACGGTCATCCAGGACATTTCTCCCCTTCCCGTCTGCAGCTCGCCTCGATGGAATCACCCTCGGGTGAGCGAGGGTTGCCAGACTACATACGGATATGTCCAACGGATGATACCCCTTCCCGCCCTGCTGCCACGCTCTCGGTACCCTCGACTTCCACCCCTTCTCTTTGCATGCGTATCCGACGACCCGCGACTCCGCCGACTCCCACGGACCGCGCTGCGGCGAAACCTGCCCCACGCGTCATGGAACAAAAACCATGTGGTCCGACCAGGCGCATTAACTCGTCCTCGTAGGCCCTGCCCTACGTCCGGCGAGACGCCAAAGCCTCAGTGTCTCTGACACACCCTGCCTCCGCCGGGCCTGAAAGACGGTACGGGTAGGAGATGATAGCACGGTTTTTTGAGGATGTCTTTTGTCCGTGCGGTACCTGCCGTCCTTGTCCCCCCCGTCTTCGGATGGTGTGGTGATGGGAGAGGAAACAAAAACGAGTCCCCGTTGGCAGTGCGATACATACGGAGAGATGCTTGGTAGGGCGGGCTTTTCGACATTCGGCATTGCGGCTTTGGTTGCCGATTTTGACAAGATGTTCATCGACGACGGCGGGTTTCTACTACGGGCTTGGCGTTGCGGAAGGCCTGACAACTCGTAGGGGAATGGGAATGAAGGTTGGTCGGCTGGCTGAGAACCAATGCTTCGAACCAGGAGTCCTGGATGAAGGCGGCTGGCTGAGGCGGACCAGGCCCGGGACCCATCTCGAGTTGGAGTCAAAGCTTCGTGCTTGTCTGGTGCATGGAGCCCGTTTCTTTCGGCTGACTGGATTTTCGGGTTCTCTGGGGAGGGCTTTGCTTTCTGAGGTCGATCGGTTGGAAAAGGACGGGCCCTTGGGGGCGGTCCTGGTTGCCCTCCCTCCAGAAATGGCGGAAGGGCAGCCCCTCTTTTTGAGGATAAGTTCCATGTCTCTTTTGTACTCGATGCTTGGTGCTGACTAGTCAATAGGAACAAGGAACGTGGCGTCCTCATCTCTGATTGAACCGGCAGGTGCATGTGAGCCCGAATAGTCCAACCCCGGCCTTCTCCAAGCCGGGCCTTGATCGGCTGTAGTCACTACCCAATCCCCACGAATTGATGGTTCAGAGGAGCGGTTCATTACAGCTCTATCGTCCCTCCACGTTCCCGGTACCCGGATTCCTTGCAGTCCCAACAATATCTTGCTGTCGTCGGGCGTCCACAACCATACGTCGAGTCGCCGGTTTCGTCAGATCCGCAGCTGCGGCGACAATGACGCTCAGATAATGGCGTCGGCCCTTGTATAGGATGCGGCCCAGCCAAAATATCCTGGAGAGTCGCGAGAGAAAGGCTAATATCAGCTTAGATCTTCATCGCTTTCATGACATACGCCGCGAGCAGTGTGAGGGTCAGACGCTACCAGCGTCTGACGACCTGCCCTTAACACCGGAAACAACCGGCCCATGATTTTGCCCCGGATCCTATACTCCTTGGGCGCATTGGAATGCTCCCACCATCCCTCGTACGTCATGGCCTCCTCCCACCTGCCGTAGAACTCATTCAACATGTAAGGTTCGATTCAACCTCCTTGACCGGACGATGGCTTGCCGTCCAGCACTTTTGCGGAACCCAAAGAGGCTCTGTTACCCTGATGATGGCAACAAGAGCAATAATCCCCGTCTGGTCATACGGAGCCCAAAGTACAATCTTCGCAATGATGTCGAAAGAAGGGAAGTTCAGTGTAATGTAACGGGTTCCCCTTCATATCCTGGAATATCAGGCCCAACTCCTCCGTTTCGAAGGCCGTCTCATCCTGTGAAATAAGCCACGGCGGCCCGCCCAACGCCACAACCTGCCTGATGGCGTCCGCATAGTGTTCATCCTCAGACTCGTCGGTGCCATTCTTGATGAGGCCTCTTCGCTCGGTTCTGCGCCGACTCAACATGCTTTCGGTACAACGGCGATCCGGTTCGGGCGCGGCCAACTCGTGGAACACGTTATACACTTCTTGCCAGCAGTCGCCAACGTCAAACAGCTCTGCACAGTGGACCACTCATAACCGGCCTCGATCTCTGAGTTGTTCAGATCCTCGTCCAGCCAGCTGCGCAACTTGGCAGCATCATCGGCGCCGCCCCCGTAATACGTGCGTAGAAGGTAGAAATATGGCCCCTGGCCTTCGTCAGGAACAAGGCCGAGGTGGACAGCGGCGATGCGGCGCAGCTTCTACGGCCGCCACAGGGCAAGATTCTTGGTTACCTCGGCACCCGTGGGGAGGCGAGATGGCAGCGAAGCGAGCAGCTCCGGGCCGAGCACATCCCCCTCAATTTAGGCCTCCACCAGCTGCCGTCACTGCTCCTCGGTGTTCAGCTCAGACGAATGATCCCAGTTCCGCTAGGGTTGTGGTTAGCCACCGCCCACAGACTTGCAGCAACATTGAAGTGAGGCTCAGGTGCTGCCTGGCTGCAAACAAAGGGGAGGTTGAGCGCGGGAAAAAGAACTGACAATCAGATACCGCTCTACGGGAGGGCACCCCATGCAGGCGTGACCGGCCCGTTGTCGGCGCTCATCTCGTCAAGAGGGCCGAGGAAGTCATAGAGGTTAAGGGACGGGATGAATGGATGGTTATCGGAAGGTCTTGGGAGGAGTCGCGGCTGTGGCGTCTTGTTCATATCTTGCTGTGCCGCACGGTTAAAGCCATGCGGCCCGGCCTTCTTCCCAGCTCGCCTCAGACACGGCCATACAAATCATAATAGAATAGAATAACTCAAGAGCGACAGGAGAGTTCTCACTGAAGGTGTAGATGTCTAGATGGCATATGTGCCACCCACAGCTATCCCCGCAGGACAATTGATGTCATAATCAACTCGGGGATACGGTCAGCTAGTGTGGATTTGTATCAGCTCAGAGACAAGATACACGGTACAAAGCCCATTGCGGTACAAAGTCCATTGCGGTACAGAGCCCATTGCGGTACAAAGCCCATTGTTACTCTCCTAGATTGTCCAGGACATAGTCATGAGATGTTGCGACTTACAAACCAATACCGGCACCCGTTGAGGGACGCCAGAGCTGTGACGGTACATGAAACCTTCAACATGGAACAGTCCGAGTCCGACCGAGTCATACAGAAACCATCCGATTCTAGGAATCCCCTCAGAAAAATCGACCAAGCGAGATGACATTCGTGTTGTTCCTAGTCTCAGAGTTGCTGAGATCGCCCGGCTTCAGGTAGCACACGCTGGTCGACTTCTCCCAGCTGCCCGCACCGCAAGGATTTCCTGGGTAATACATGGTCCACAGATCACATTCACTACATAGTAATCAGATTAGCATCTCGTCGTTCATTCACTGAGGTCGTTTTAGCAAGACAAAGGAGGAGGCAACTGAAACTTACTCGGCGCACTCGAGCGGGCCTCCGGTCTCCGAAGAGTGTAGGTTGATTGGAGTCCAATACTCAATCTCGCACTCGATTAGATAGCGACCATTGTTGCTGGCTATGTAGAGGAGGCCGTTTGCGTCAGGACAGACTCGGCGTTGCGCCACAGCGGAGCCAATTCCCAAAAGAGTGATGATACTAGCAGAGAGGTGCATGTTGTGAGGCTGTCTGGTGATGGCAGGTGCAGTAGGAGAAATGTTGGGTTTCCTGTCAAAGATGTGAGAATATTCGAGAGTTGCGACGTCCTTATATACACAGAAAGCATATGCGGTTGAGACGGATGCGCATTGCTGCCGTAGGAAGGACACTGAAAATAAAGGTCTGCCCCTGGCGTGGTATCTCCTCAATACTTGTGCTCACCGAGCACCTGACAACCCAAGACAAATGGACATTGTAAACCCTCAAATTGCTGATGTAAGACTAGTGTAGTATCGACAAAATCCGAATATCACTTCACTGTTTCAGCTGGTGTAATCCAGAGCAACGACACCTCAGCTCGACACTTGCGTCCATTGTTTGCCCTCGCAGACTCAATGGAACTGAGCAAACGGTGGTGATATTGATGTCTGGTGGAAAAGGATGGAGTAGTAGCGCGTTGATGGATGGAATTTATTTCGCCCGGAGGCACGAAGCCTAAAGGGCCTTGGCACGCTAACTACATCCCATTCGTTGACGTTCGGTCATCAACTCGTACAAGCCCTCTACTCTCTCCCCTTTTCTCACGCCACCTGTTGCCTCTTGACTTAGTTTAGCAGATCGACTTGGAGGCTGCGTTCTCCAAGTGTTCAGCGTCCTATCTTCAGCAGCTAAAGCGGGATCTGCTGGCTGAGGCTGTGTAGTGTTAGTGGAATTCCCCTACTGTGAATGATCCAATCTCCGTCCTTCCTCGTCAAGATCCAGTCTCCCTGTCGCCATTGCGTACTTGATCGTTGCCCGGACTGCTTTCATGTCTGGCGACCACATCTTTGGATCCGATGGTGCTTTCCCTCCCAGGTAGAATGAGTAGCGCGTTGAGTCACCACAGTACAACTTTTTGCCTCATCAGGCTGTTGTCGCCAATATTTAGATCGAGCCAGGCGGTTGGCAGTAACTGAAAAACCATGTATCTTTTTGCCAAGTCGACGTTTGTCGTTATCTTTGTCCTCCGAGTCTACTTCGCCATATCTTGGCAAGAACGAGCCGTCAGCAAGTCAGATGTGCGCCACGAATTCTACCCAGAGAGGTACTCAGAGTTCTTGGGTTCCATGGCTTCCGTACTCAGAGTTCCATAGTATCCATACCTGTACTCAGAGTTTCATGACATTGACATGATGACTTGGCTGAATGGACTTGTGTTTTGTTGATGTTCAAGCTTGATTGACTCGACTGGAGTTGCCATCTTCCAGTTGGGAACCAGGGTTAGGACAAATGTTTATGCAGTACGGATAAGCCCCATGCTGTACTGGTACAATACAGGGGTAGAGAACTCGCGAAACAACTCAACTGCCACAACCTACGACCCGACAGAGAAATTTTGATGAAAGTCAATTCAGGAACGCCACTCGGCTCATTAGGCTCCTGGATTTGTTCTCATGGTGCTGGAAAGCTGCAGCCGAGATACAAACCTTTCGAGTCAGTCGTGTTGCAACCCGGATGGATGTCTCTTGGGTTAGGGTTATCTACTCTGGGTGTCACTGGTTTTGAGCCCGTGACAGCGCGTAAAGTGCCGCTTTAGACGCGACAATTCCAGACATCGACAAACTGAAAAAGGCACAGTCTGCACAACCCTGAGGCGAGAGAGGGAGGAACTTCTTTTTATCTGCCCTTTTTGACCGCGGTACTTGTCAGCTCAATCCAACAGAAAATCGGTTTTTTCGGAAGGTGAGCCGCCCTGCCAAGGGAGCGCGAGATGGCGGCGGCGGCGCAACCTGAGGCAGTGATCGAGGTGGCCGACCGCCCACCGTCACCGAAACGACCGAGCCGCGCCCTAAAACCGAGTGCGAAAGTCCGTGAAGCGATGCAATCGCTGGAGGATGCGGCCA